ATATATATATATTAACTAGCTAGCTAGAAAGGAAGATATTCATGGAAGATCATCACAACTAGAAATTGTTAGAATTGATGTATAAATTAAAGGTTATTTTATTTTATTTTTTTGGTGTATTTAATTGTATGTGTCCACTAGATATTTTGGATTTACGGAGCAACATCAACCAACCCAAAATATATATTTTGGACATATTGGCAACTAAATACCCAAAAAAAAAAGAAAGAAAGATAAAAACGCTTTTATGAGGCAATGGTTTCCGATTCTTTTGTTCTCTTTTTTCCTTTTGTATTTTAGCGTACACTAAAAAAAAATAACAGATATTTTGGGTTTGGTTTGTTTCATTCAAGATTGTAAATTAATTAAGTTTAACGTGTTTGTCAAACTTGTCAAAGTATGTATTATATATTATAAAGTTTTGGATTTATAATTTTCAGTAATGATGATTTCTGAATATGAATTTTTATTCTCTCATTTTTAAGAAGATATGAAAAAACTTTTTCATACCAAGTGCCCCCTTAAAATTTTAAAAAGAGAGAGAATTTCATAAAAAATAATTTTATAATTGATTAATAAAAGATACAATTATGAACTCTGTTTATAAAGCTTAACAAAATACATCTAACAAACTAATATTAACTCACTTGTTAAAAGACTAATTTACGACAATATTATTTGTGTATATATGTGTAAGTAAAACCTTGCAACATTATTGGTTTGGGTACCTGAATTCTGAATCTTACCCATGAAGGGATTAAATTATAAAATTTCAAAAACTCAAAAGAAAAAATTGTAATTGACTTTTGGAATTGGTTTTTCTACACGCAATACACCAAGTTAGATTGTTGAGTGGTGTGGAGGAGAAGGTGAAGTCCCTTCGGAATGACCTCCAAACGAACCACATCATCCTCAAAACCACAAACACAAATGGCCACATTCAAAAACCAGTAGTGACCCAAATCAGACATTTTATTTTATTTTTATTTTTATTTTTATATAAATAGATTTTTTTTAGAAAACTTAAATTTAACATTTTTATTAAACATCTCAAATTAAATCAAATCATAAACCCCTTGTTTAAGATATGACATATTTTCATCCTTATATCAACAAGCACCGATGGAAGAAAGAGGATATTATATCATATCTAGACATGTCATTATATTAAAATTCACCATGTAGTCTTACAGCTTATGCTAATTTAGTAAAAAAAAATTCTTTATTCTAATTTCTCCACTTTTAAAAATTTTAGTGTATTTGGATGAAAATTTTTATAAATTTAAAAATTTTAAATTCTTCGTATTTGAATTACTTTGATTTTAATTTCTATCATTCTTAAAATATTTTATTTAGATAAATCAATTCAAATTTCTTAAATTTTAAATTGTTAGATTAAATATGATAATTTGATTTCACTATGATAAAATTAATTTTAAAAATATATTTATATGTTCAGATTTTTAAATTTAATTTTATAAAATAAATAATAGCTAATTTTTAAATATTTAATAATTTTAAAAATTAATATTAGATAATATTTAATAATTTTAAAAATATTTTTAAATATTCAATAATTAAAAACATAAAGAGATAAGAGATAAAATAAAATATAAAAGTTAAATAAGAAAAAAATATAAAAATTTTTAAATTCTTACTTTTTTGAGATAATTTAAAATTATACTATTTTAAAAATTTTCATAAATGGTTGAATTTCAAATTTTTCATTCAAATAAAATATTTTACCTCAAAGAATTTATATATTTTTAAATAAATAAATTATGTTATTTAAATTTTCTATTCAAATACACATAAAGGTCTGAGCATGGAATACCTCGTGGATATGGATGAGATAGCATCGCATATAAGAACCTTTCTGAATGAGACAACACTGCATATTGTTGAATTGCATAACTGAACTGGGAATTTTGGGGATTTGGTACTAGAATTAGGATTTAGGAGTCCTTCGTGTACCCAAAAAAAAGTCTGAAATTGTCTCAAAACTGTACTTTGACAAAATTGTGAGGACTAATTCTTTCCATATATTTTCTTTTTCTTAGACCGATTTATTTCTAAAGTATGAAGTACATATTACAACATTTTTTCCTAGCCAAACGTTGACATGTTTTCAGTACCTTTGTTTTCTCTGTGTTTCATTTCATCCAGCTTAATTAGAACCTTGAATTAGTAATTATAGGGATTCTCTATTCGTTGGTTTGGGTGAAACCTTGAATCTCATTTATTTATTTTTGCATTATAGGGATAACATGTATCAAAACATTGGGATAGGGATGAAAATTACGAAAATTATTTCATCCTGGGCAATCGTAAACAAGCTTCATTTTAGAGGGAGGGGTAAAGATTTGAAAGGTGTCACTTGGGATTGAAATCTAAGGCATTAATTTCCCATCAAGGGTGTGTGAGAATTTCCTAAGAAACCAGAATATTTTTTAATCATGTAAATTAGAAAAGTTCAAAAACGCAAAAGCAAAATAAGTGTCGGAAAGTGAGTAGGATGGTTTTTGCCATAGGTACGTTTTTCGCCATTCCTAACATATGTTTTTAATTCTATCTAACGGTAAAAGAAACCATCACCGGTTGTATTATTATAAATGATCTAAGGCTAATTAGTGCCAGAAATATCTACCCTGGAAGTCTTTGTAATGTTACATAAGGACGAGAATGAAAATGACAGTGTATGCAATTGTAAACAAACTTCATTTTAGAGGTAGGGCAATGGTTTGAAATATGACACTTGTGGTTGCGGAAATCTCCTTCCTTTTGCACATCAAGGAATTGACACTTGTGGTCGGGAATTTGCTAGGAAACCAGAATATTGTTTGTCAAGTGCCAAAGAAACAAAACACCGTTATGAATGTTGTAAGGTAAATTAGTGGAAGGTGCAAGTGAACTTCATGGTTGACAGAGTCAGATGCAAAAAAGACAGAACTGTTGGCCTCAAAATTCTTTGTGCATATTTAGTTATAACTATTTCATTCAGCATATTCCCAGCTCCAATCCAAACACACAGGAGATTATATACAGTGTCCCAACATTCCAACAATCCCTTTTTATGATCACAATTTCTATCTGTTGTTATGGCAGACAGTGTGGTTTCCTTTGTTTTAGATCACTTGTCCCAACTGGTGGCACATGAAGCAAGGTTGCTGAGTGGCGTGGAGGACAAGGTGAAGTCCCTCGAGAAGGAGCTTCAGATGATCAACGTCTTCCTAAGAACCACCATAAAAGCGCTATCAGCGAGTGAAGTTAAAAAGCACCTTTAGAAACATGCTCACTCAGAGCGAGTTATATGGATGTTGTAAGTGAATGCATTGAATCTAAAAGTCCATTATAATTGTTATAAAATAAGGTTTTTAGGATGTTTTTATATCCCATTCCAATCATCAATATTCTTCTTAGCATAATTATAGAGTGATTAGAGATAATTCCTGTAAGGTTGTTCTTGTCATCACAAATCACTCAAAGGTCCCTTTATTGTTGTTGTCGCAACCGAGATCGCGACGGGACGGCAAAAAATAAATTGAAAAATAGGGAGTTGCCACTAATGTTATTTTTTTACGGAAAAACATTGGAAAAATCATAAAATAGAAAACAGTATATGAAAATCAGATTTTTGAGTTCGGGAATCAATTACATGTGAGAAGGATATTAGCACCACACAACGTTCATCCAAAGACGATTACTTTTAATTAATTAAACAAATTAATTATAATTTATAAAATATTTATCTCACTAAAATGATCAAATATATTATATTTAACTAATGCATTAAAAGGTTAAAATTATTATTGTTATATAAAAAGGAAGATAATATATTTTTTATTTTTTGGCTCGACAAGATTTATTTCTTGTTCCTATCTCAATGTTTAATGAAGAATAGTCACGTAGTTCTTTGTAGAAAATATTTGTGTGTTGATATTTTTTAATTAAGTTTTATTTTTGTTAAATATAGGATTCTTGAACTATCTCAGCTCATTTGCCCTAAAAATATAAAATTGACTAAGGTGTACACCAAAGTTAATTCAATAAAATTTTAATTATAATTATTGCTATAGATATTATTATCTTAAAAGATTTTTGGTTGGACATTTTTGTTTTTGGAGAAAAAAATTTAAAGATATCAAGTTGTCACAACTTGTATTTTAAATTCAAAAGCTAAAAGGATGTCACATCTAATTAACCATTCTTCAAATAAAATTTTTACTAGAATAACTTTGAATATTTATGTTGAATATTGTGGTAGTATTTTTTTATATTTAATTATATTTTAAATTTAAATAAAAAAGACTTAAATAACAAATTGTCATAACTTGCACCTTTAAGTTTTAGAATCAAGAAAATGTCATATTTTAATAATTCTTTTTAAAAAATAATAAATATCATTAATATAAATATTAAGGAAGAATCTCATAATTATTAATATTATTATTATAACAGTAACTATTGATATTATTACTATTATTATTATTGATATTATTATTATTATTATAACTTATTTGAATCCGTTTAAACAATGTAGCAGCAAAAACCAAAGTAAAAGGCAAAGAAATAGGAGGAAGGGTATTGCATCCAGTCACTTCCCAACTTATTGCTCACGAAGAAATAGATACTAGAGACATATTTATATATATATACAAACAGTATATTAAGTGAAAGAAAATTTATTATAAGAAATGAGAGGGTTATATATATATATGGAGCATATCAAGTGAGATAAATTTATTATGAGAGGATGAGAGAGTTAAAATATAACTTTTAAATTAATTTTCTCTCACTTGATTAAGTTTTAAATTTTTTTTCACTTAATTAATGTTGAGCAAATTATTTATCATGTCGTTGTTTGTGTCAGAGGAAGAGACAACTACGGTGAGTATTTGCGGTTGCAGAAATATAAATCCTTCTAAACATCAAGGGACTAGTTCCCATCAAGGGTGTGTGAGAAATTCCTAGGAAACCAGAATATTTTTTAATTAAGGAAATTAGGAGTCTTCAAAAAAGTCAAAAGAAAAAGTGTAGGAAAGTGCTTAAATTGATCGCTGTGATGGGTTTTCCTGTATAAGCAACTCAAAAAGGGTGAAAGAACTATAACAAGTGTTACAAGGCAAATGAGTGGAAGGTGCAATCATGCACCTAACGGGAAGGTGCTGTTGAACTTTGTTCATGGTTGACGCAGAGTCAATGAAGAAAAAAACAGAACTCTTGTCCCCAAGTCTATGTAAAATTTTTATTATTAGTACTTTCCACACTAAATATTTAGATTCCTTGGTATGTGCCTGCAAACTCTAATCCAACAAGGGAGGAGATCATATCATATACCTTCCTTTCCTAGATTCTCTCTAGTGCCTTTACTAAATCCCTCTACATCTCTTACCATCACCATCCCCAAACGTTAGTTCCTATTCACAGATCAATCTACACGCACATCACTGTTGTAATGGCGGACAGTGTGGTTTCCTTTGTATTAGATCACTTGTCTCAACTGATGGCACGTGAAGCAAAGTTGCTGTGTGGCGTGGAAGACAGGATCAAGTCCCTCCAAAATGAGCTTGAAATGATCAATGAGTTCCTCAATACCTCAAAGAGCAAAAAGGGGATTGAGAAAAAAGTGGTGAGCCAAATCAGAGATGTTGCCCATCTAGCTGAGGATGTCATCGACACATACGTTGCCAAAGTTGCCATACACGAGAGGAGAACCATGATGGGTAGGCTCCTCCATAGCGTTCACCAAGCACGGTTGCTCCATGACGTAGCTGAGAAAATAGACCAGATAAAAAACACTGTCAGTGAGATACGCAACAACAAGATCAAATATGAAGAATTCCAAGAAAGCAACAATCAATCCACAACAAAAGCAGAGGAGGAGGAGAAGGAAAGGGCGCAATTACTACACAAGATAAGAAGAAATGTGGAGGAAGAAGATGTAGTAGGCTTTGTACGTGACTCCAACGTAGTCATCAGGCGACTCCTAGAAGGTGGTTCATCTCGTAACGTTGTCTCCATCATTGGCATGGGTGGATTGGGCAAGACCACCCTTGCCCGAAAGGTCTATAACAGCAGAGAGGTGAAACAATACTTTAGATGTTGCGCGTGGGTTTATGTGTCAAACGAGTGTAGAGTCAAGGAGATTTTTCTTGGCCTTCTTAAGCATTTGATGCCAAGCCTTGAATACCAATGTAGAGGCAACAAGAAAGGTAAGAAACACACAAGAGAATTAAACATTTCTAAATTAAACGAGGAGGAGTTGAAAAAACTGGTGAGAGAATGCTTGGAGAGGAAAAGGTATCTGGTGGTCCTCGATGACCTGTGGAAAACACAAGATTGGGACGAGTTGCACGATGCTTTTCCTGACGACAACAAAGGCAGCAGGATATTGATTACTAGTCGTTTGAAAGAGGTGGCGTTGCATACTAGCCATCATCCTCCTTACTATCTTCAGTTTCTTAGTGAAGATGAAAGTTGGGAGCTCTTCTGCAAGAAAGTGTTTAGGGGCGAAGAGTACTCTTCTGATTTGGAGCCTTTGGGGAAACAGATAGTTCAAAGTTGTCGTGGTTTGCCACTCTCAATCGTGGTGTTAGCAGGGTTGCTAGCCAACAAGGAAAAATCATATAGAGAATGGTCTAAAGTGGTGGGTCATGTCAACTGGTATCTTACTCAAGATGAGACCCAAGTGAAGGATATAGTTCTCAAACTCAGCTATGACAACCTGCCAAGGAGATTGAAACCATGCTTTCTGTTTCTTGGGATATTCCCCGAAGACTTTGAAATCCCAGTTAGGCCATTATTGCAACGATGGGTTGCCGAAGGATTTATACAAGAAACAGGGAATAGAGACCCAGATGATGTTGCTGAAGACTACTTGTACGAGCTCATTGATCGTAGTTTGGTCCAAGTAGCAGCTATGAAGACTAGTGGAGGTGTGAAGACTTGTCACATCCATGATCTTCTTCGAGATCTTTGCATATCAGAGAGCAAAGAGGACAAGGTTTTCCAAGTTTGCACAGGTAATAACATTCTAATCTCCACAAAACCCCGCAGACTGTCCATTCATTGTAACATGGGTGATTACATTTCTTCAAATAACAATGACCAGTCATGTATTCGTTCTTTGTTCATGTTTGGACCCCATTATTTTTTTATCCCAAGCGAGTTGAAAAGACTTTTCAAAGGCTTCAAATTGGTTCGAGTGTTAGAGCTTGGAACAGACAGTTGTGGAGGAAAGATTCCATCTAATTTGGGGGACTTTATCCACTTAAGGTATTTGAGAATTGACTCGCAACATGTTAGAATTATTCCAGCTTCTATACTTACCCTTCAGAATTTACAAACCGTAGACCTAGGTTGTTGGCGTTTGACTATTCCAATTTCTTTCCCTGCTCAAATATGGAAGCTCAAACATTTAAGGCATTTGTATGCGCCAGGGCCTATCAAGCTTAGAGGCCACAATTCAAAACCAAGTGAGGTTATGTGGAATCTTCAAACCATGAACGCCATTGTGTTGGACGAACAAACATCATATTTGATAAATAAAGGAACTTTCCCCAACCTTAAGAATTTAAGTCTGCAAATATCTTCGGGTCGCAAGGCTAAATGGCCTAAGTTGTTGCAGAGCCTACAACAATTAAGTCATTTGAGTAAGTTAAGGATTTCCTTTGAAATCAATTTTTGTGAAGGTTCACTGTCCGGAAACTATATGAAAAGCATGGAGTGGCACATTGGTTGTAAGCCGCAAGAAGTATTACAATGCATAGGGCAGTTGAGTCATGTAACTACGCTGAAAATTGTCAATGCCTTGGACCTTCTAACATGTAGGGTCACGTTTCCTCCAAATGTTATAAAGTTAACATTGACAGGTATTAGTTGTGTGACTGATGAGGGAATGGATTCTTTGGGAAATCACACGAAACTCCAAAAATTGAGACTAACTGGAGGAATTTTGTCAGAAGAGTTGCCTCCGAGGGGATTTTGATGCTTCAATAGGCACAGTGTCAAGCATATGGCGGTTTGGTTGTGAGCCACAGGAGCTATTACAAAGCCTAGGGTTGTTGACTCATATAAAATGTGGTCTCCATCATCGGCATGGGGGGGTTGGGCAAGACCACCCTTGCCCGAAAAGTTTATAATGATAGCAAGGTGAAACAAGGCTTTAGTTGTTGTGTTTGGGTGTACGTGTCAAACGAGTGTAGAGCTAAGGAGCTTTTGCTTAGTCTTCTTAAGCATTTGAGGCCAAACCTCGAAACTGAACTTCAAGAAGAAAACAACAAAGGAAAAAAATTCACTGAAGAACAAGACATTTTTAACTTGAGTGTGGAGGAGCTGAAGAAACTGGTGCGGCAATACTTGGAGAGGAAAACAAGGTATCTGGTGGTCCTCGATGACTTGTGGAAAACACAAGATTGGGACGAGGTGCAAGATGCTTTTCCCGACAACAACAGAGGCAACAGAATATTGATCACTAGTCGTTTGAAAGAGGTGGCCTTGCATACTAGTCTTCATCCTCCATACTACCTTCAATTTCTCAGCCAAGAAGAAAGCTGGGAGCTCTTTCGTAGGAAAGTGTTTAGAGGGGAAGAATGCCCTTTTGAACTAGAGCCTCTAGGCAAACAAATAGTGGCAAGTTGTCGCGGTTTGCCACTCTCTATTGTTGTATTAGCAGGATTGCTAGCCAACAAGGAAAAGTCACACAGGGAATGGTCCAAAGTGGTGGGTCACGTCAACTGGTATCTTACTCAAGACGAGACTCAAGTGAAGGATATAGTTCTGAAGCTCAGTTATGATAACTTGCCAAGAAGATTGAAACCATGCTTTCTATATTTTGGGATATTCCCTGAAGACTTTGAAATCCCTGTTAGGCCATTACTACAACAATGGGTTGCAGAAGGGTTTATACAAGAAACAAGAAATAGAGACCCAGATGATGTGGCAGAAGACTACTTGTACGAGCTCATTGATCGTAGTTTGGTCCAAGTAGCAGCAATAAAGACTAGTGGAGGTGTGAAAACTTGTCACATCCATGATCTTCTCCGAGATCTTTGTGTATCGCAGAGCAAAGGGGACAAGATTTTTGAAGTCTGCTCAGATAATGACATTCAAATTCTAACAAAACCTCGCAGGTTGTCCTTCCATTGTGACATGGGCCACTACATTTCTTCAAGCAACAAAGACCATTCATGTATCCGTTCTTTGTTCTTCTTTGGAATATATTCCAATTTTACTGGGAACGAGTGGGAATGGCTTTTCAAAGGCTTCAAATTGGTTCGAGTGTTAGAGCTTGGAAAAAACCATTGCGCAGGAAAGATCCCATCTAATTTGGGGGACTTTATCCACTTAAGGTATTTGAGAATTGACTCGAATTTTGGTATAATTATTCCAACTTCCATACTTACCCTTCAGAATTTACAAACAGTAGATTTAGGTAATTGGTTTAGGGAAATCCCAATTTGTTTCCCTGCTCAAATGTGGAAGCTCAAACATTTAAGGCACCTGTATGGGCAAGGACCTGTGAAGCTTCAAGGCCACTATTCAGGATCAAATGAGGTTATGTGGAATCTCCGAACCATCTTCCCCATTGATATTGATACACAAACATTGTCTCTGATGAAGAAAGGAAGCTTCCCCAATCTTGTGAAATTGGGGTTGTCAATCAATTCGGACCGCCAAGGTAAGTGGCCAAAGTTGTTGCAGAGCTTACAAGAATTAAGTCATTTGAATATCTTAAAGATTTGCCTCCGAGGGGATTTTGATGCTTCAATAGGCACAGTGTCAAGCATATGGCGGTTTGGTTGTGAGCCACAGGAGCTATTACAAAGCCTAGGGTTGTTGACTCATATAACTACGTTGAAAATCACCAATATCTGCAGCCTTATGATAACGGTTCCTCCAAATGTCACCAAGTTAACATTGCGTGGTATTAGTAGCATCACTAGGGAGGGGCTGAATGCGTTGAGAAATCACACCAAACTCCAAATTTTGAGTCTATATGGAGACTATGGCTCTAACATTAACCTCAATTGTGTTGTAGGCTATGGATGAAATTTGGGAGGCATTTAATTCACGTGGTATTTGTTAGGAAGCCAGTTTGTTTGAGGGGGTTTGAATGTTTCTTTTGTCGTCAACAAATCATATATTAACACGTGTGTTCAATAAGTTGAGTTGTGGTTACTTCTCATATAATGATTAACTGAATTTGATTTTATTTGAGTTTGTATAAATTTAATTTTATCTGTACATTGTTTAAATTTGTAATAATTAAGTATTGTATTTTATTATCTTTTATTTAGATTTATGTGTAATTAAAATATTTTATTTTAATAATTATTATTTGAATTTTAAATTTATAGGATTAATTGTGTTTTTGATCTCAAATATTGTAATTGTACAATTTTGATCTCTAATATTTTAATTGGGCAATTTTATCTCTAAAGGATTATAATTGTACAATTTGGGTCCTTCAATTTTTAAATATATATATATATATATATATATAATTTTAAAATCATTAAATTTTTTTAATGAAAAATACTAAAATTGCAGAATTATGAGTATTTGAGGGACTGAAATTGTTCTATTAAAAATCAAGGAAAAGAAATCATACAATTACAATATTTTATGGACTAAAATTACCCAATTAAAATTTTAGGGTCAAAATTATACAATTGCGATGCTTGAGGGATTAAAAATATAATTAAGCCAAATTTACATGATTGATTGTTTAAAACTCAATTTTTAAATTCAATTATTGTTATTAATATAATTGTAAAGAATATTTGAATTTTAATTTTATAACTTTTAAACTTTTTATATATATTTTATTTGAATTTCAATTATAATCTGCTTCTTTTTATGCATATTTTTATAACTTTTAAAAGAAAAAAAATTGTTATAAATAACTAAAATATATTATTAAAATACTTTATTAAATATTTTTAAAATATTTTTTTAGCAAATATCCAAAGGTACCATGGATATTAAAAAAATATGTGGATATGTATTGAACGAATACCCGTATAGATATGAGAACGAGTACAACACATATATTATGTGTCGGTAAGGGTAATAGATAGGGATGACAAATGTCCCGTACTCGCGGGTAATACCCTAACCCGTTCCGACTTTGACAGGGAATACCCGGTTTGACCGGGTACGGGTACGGGTACGGGTACAGGTATGTACTTACCCGCCCCGTACCCGTACTTGTACCCGTCCCCGTTCTAATTTTTAATTTAATACCCACTTTCAATTTAATTATATTAAAGAATTTTAATATTTTTATGTGTGATTATTTATTATAATATGAGATAGAGAAATAACCTAATTATAATTATATTATAATTAAAAAAATAATTTAAAAATATTATATTTTTTAGAAAAAAATAAAAAATAAAAATTTTGACGGGTACGGATACGGGTACGGGGTATACCCAATACCCGACGGGGACGAGGATGGGGATGAAAAGCACATACCCGATGGGTACAGGTACAGGGATGGGGATGAATTTAGCTTGCGGGGACGGGGACGGGTATCATGAAACCCGTACCCGCCCCACCCCATTGCCATCCCTAGTAATAGAGAGCTACTATCCAACCCTGTTCCACCTTTGGACATCCTTATTTCTCACATTTCTCTCTCCTATTAAATTCCTTTTCCAACCTATTTCTCTTTTTTATTAAATTTCTTCTCTAACTTATTTATCTCTCTCCTATTAAATTCATTCTTTAACTCATTTCTCTCTCATCTATCATGATGTCTTTCTCTCTGTGAACAAATATAAAATTAATTAATAGAAGAAAAAAAATGAATTGGAGAATGAAATTAATAAGAGATAAAAAATATTTTATTTTCTTTTAAAATTAAATTAAATTACTATAATATCTTTTATATAAATTAATAAAATCAAAAGAAATGAGTAGTTTGCTTGTCCTAAAATTTTAGTGTAAGTTGCTAACATACTCCAACTAAAAAACAGGTGGGAGTATACTAGCATTCCCCATATATAAAAATATATTTTTTAAAAAGCTTAAATTTGATATTTTTATTAAACAGTTCAAATTAGATCAAATCATGGACTTTTATTAAGATCTTACCTATTTTCATCCTTGTGTCTGCAATCATTGATGGAAGAAAGAAGATATTATATCATATCTACACACGCCACTAATATTTAAATTCTTAGTATTTGAATTACTTTGATTTTAATTTCTATTATTCTTAAATTATTTTGTTTGAATAAATCAATTCAAATTTCTTAAATTTTAAATTGTTAGGTTGGATATGATAATTTGATTCCACCATGGTAAAATTGATTTTAAAAATATATTTATATGATGAGATTTTTAAATTAAATTTTATAAAAATAAATATTAGCTAATTTTTAAATAATTAATAATTTTAAAAATTAATATTAGATAATATTTAATAATTTTAAAAATATTTTTGAATATTCAATAATTAAAAATATAAAGAAATAAGAGATAATATAAAATATATAAGTAAAATAAGAAAGAAAAATATGAGAAGTTTTAAATTCTTACTTTTTTTTTAAAAATTTAAAATTTTACTATTTTAAGAAATTTCACAAATGCTTGAATTTCAAATTTTTTTAAAATTTTCTATTCAAATAAGATATTTTATTTTAAAAATTTTAAAATTCTTTAAATAAATAAATTATTCTATTTAAATTTTCTTTCTAAATACACCAATAAAGATTATAAGAATCTCTAATAACCCTTCTGAATGAGACAACACTGCATATTGTAGAATTGCATAACTGAGCTGGGAATTTTGGGGATTTGGTACTAGAACTAGGAGTCCTTCGTGTACCCAAAAAAAAGTCTGAAATTGTCTAAAAACTGTACTTTGACAAAATTGTGAGGACTAATTCTTTCCATTTATTTTCTTTTTCTTAGACCCATTTATTTCTAGCCAAACGTTGAGAGACATGTTTTCAGTACCTTTGTTTTGTCTGTGTTTCATTTCATCCAGCTTAATTAGAACCTTGAATTAGTAATTATAGGGATTCTCTAATCGTTGGTTTGGGTGAAACCTTGAATCTCATTTATTTACTTTTGCATTATAGGGATAACATGTATTAAAACATTGGAATAGGGATGAAAATTACGAAAATTATTTCATCCTGGGCAATCATAAACAAGCTTTATTTTAGAGGGAGGGGTAAAGATTTGAAAGGTGTCATTTGGGATTGAAATCTAAGGCATTAATTTCCCATCAAGGGTGTGCGATAATTTCCTAAGAAACCACAATATTTTTTAATCATGGAAATTAGAAAAGTTCAAAAACGCAAAAGCAAAATAAGTGTGGGAAAGTGAGTACGATGTTTTTTTTGCCATAGGCACGTTTTTCGCTATTCCTAACATATGTTTTTTCATTCTATCTAACGGTAAAAGAAACCATCACCGGTCGTATCATTATAAATGATCTAAGACTAATCAGTGGAAGGTTCATAGTTGACGCAGAGTCAATGCAAAAAAATTAAAACCAGAAATGTCTACCCTGGAAGTCTTTGTAATGTTCCATAAGGACGAGAATGAAAATGAGACTGTATGCAATTGTAAACAAACTTCACTTTAGAGGTAGGGCAATGGTTTGAAATATGACACTTGTGGTTGCGGAAATCTCCTTCCTTTTGCACATCAAGGAATTGACACTTGTCGTCGGGAATTTGCTAGGAAACCAGAATATTGTCTGTCAAGTGCAAAAGAAACAAAACACCGTCATGAATGTTCTAAGGTAAATCAGTGGAAGGTGCAAGTGAACTTCATGGTTGACAGAGTCAGATGCAAAAAAGACAGAACTGTTGACCTAAAAAGTCTTTGTGCATATTTCATTATAACTATTTCATACAGCATATTCCCAGCTCCAATCCAAACACAGAGGAGATTATATCACAGTGTACCAACAATCCCTTTTCGTGATCACAATTTCTATCTGTTGTTATGGCAGACAGTGTGGTTTCCTTTGTTTTAGATCACTTGTCCCAACTGGTGGAACATGAAGCAAGGTTGCTAAGTGGCGTGGAAGACAAGGTGAAGTCCCTCGAGAGGGAGCTTCAGATGATCAACGTCATCCTAAGAACCACAAACAGCAACAACGACATTCAGAAAACAGTGGTGAGCCAAATCAGAGATGTGGCCCATGAAGCTGAGGATGTCATTGACACGTACGTTGCCAAAGTGGCCCTGCACAACAGGAGAACCATGCTGGGGAGGCTACTCCATGGAGTTGACCAAACAAAGTTGCTCCATGACGTATCCGAGAAAATAGACGAGATCATAACAACTCTCAACCAGATACGTGAAAACAAGATCAAATACAGCGAGTTCCAAGAAAGAAATCATCAATCCATAGCAGAAGAGGAGGAGGAGGAGAAGGAGAGGGAGAGGTTACTTCACAAGCTAAGAAGAAATGTAGAGGAGGAACATGTAGTGGGTTTTATCCGTGGATCTCAAGCAATCATCAAGCTACTCAAGGAAGGTGGCTCACGGCGTAATGTGGTCTCCATCATCGGCATGGGGGGGTTGGGCAAGACCACCCTTGCCCGAAAAGTTTATAATGATAGCAAGGTGAAACAAGGCTTTAGTTGTTGTGTTTGGGTGTACGTGTCAAACGAGTGTAGAGCTAAGGAGCTTTTGCTTAGTCTTCTTAAGCATTTGAGGCCAAACCTCGAAACTGAACTTCAAGAAGAAAACAACAAAGGAAAAAAATTCACTGAAGAACAAGACATTTTTAACTTGAGTGTGGAGGAGCTGAAGAAACTGGTGCGGCAATACTTGGAGAGGAAAACAAGGTATCTGGTGGTCCTCGATGACTTGTGGAAAACACAAGATTGGGACGAGGTGCAAGATGCTTTTCCCGACAACAACAGAGGCAACAGAATATTGATCACTAGTCGTTTGAAAGAGGTGGCCTTGCATACTAGTCTTCATCCTCCATACTACCTTCAATTTCTCAGCCAAGAAGAAAGCTGGGAGCTCTTTCGTAGGAAAGTGTTTAGAGGGGAAGAATGCCCTTTTGAACTAGAGCCTCTAGGCAAACAAATAGTGGCAAGTTGTCGCGGTTTGCCACTCTCTATTGTTGTATTAGCAGGATTGCTAGCCAACAAGGAAAAGTCACACAGGGAATGGTCCAAAGTGGTGGGTCACGTCAACTGGTATCTTACTCAAGACGAGACTCAAGTGAAGGATATAGTTCTGAAGCTCAGTTATGATAACTTGCCAAGAAGATTGAAACCATGCTTTCTATATTTTGGGATATTCCCTGAAGACTTTGAAATCCCTGTTAGGCCATTACTACAACAATGGGTTGCAGAAGGGTTTATACAAGAAACAAGAAATAGAGACCCAGATGATGTGGCAGAAGACTACTTGTACGAGCTCATTGATCGTAGTTTGGTCCAAGTAGCAGCAATAAAGACTAGTGGAGGTGTGAAAACTTGTCACATCCATGATCTTCTCCGAGATCTTTGTGTATCGCAGAGCAAAGGGGACAAGATTTTTGAAGTCTGCTCAGATAATGACATTCAAATTCTAACAAAACCTCGCAGGTTGTCCTTCCATTGTGACATGGGCCACTACATTTCTTCAAGCAACAAAGACCATTCATGTATCCGTTCTTTGTTCTTCTTTGGAATATATTCCAATTTTACTGGGAACGAGTGGGAATGGCTTTTCAAAGGCTTCAAATTGGTTCGAGTGTTAGAGCTTGGAAAAAACCATTGCGCAGGAAAGATCCCATCTAATTTGGGGGACTTTATCCACTTAAGGTATTTGAGAATTGACTCGAATTTTGGTATAATTATTCCAACTTCCATACTTACCCTTCAGAATTTACAAACAGTAGATTTAGGTAATTGGTTTAGGGAAATCCCAATTTGTTTCCCTGCTCAAATGTGGAAGCTCAAACATTTAAGGCACCTGTATGGGCAAGGACCTGTGAAGCTTCAAGGCCACTATTCAGGATCAAATGAGGTTATGTGGAATCTCCGAACCATCTTCCCCATTGATATTGATACACAAACATTGTCTCTGATGAAGAAAGGAAGCTTCCCCAATCTTGTGAAATTGGGGTTGTCAATCAATTCGGACCGCCAAGGTAAGTGGCCAAAGTTGTTGCAGAGCTTACAAGAATTAAGTCATTTGAATATCTTAAAGATTTGCCTCCGAGGGGATTTTGATGCTTCAATAGGCACAGTGTCAAGCATATGGCGGTTTGGTTGTGAGCCACAGGAGCTATTACAAAGCCTAGGGCTGTTGACTCATATAACTACGTTGAAAATCACCAATATCTGCAGCCTTATGATAACGGTTCCTCCAAATGTCACCAAGTTAACATTGCGTGGTATTAGTAGCATCACTAGGGAGGGGCTGAATGCGTTGAGAAATCACACCAAACTCCAAATTTTGAGTCTATATGGAGACTATGGCTCTAACATTAACCTCAATTGTGTTGTAGGCGGCTTTCCACAACTGCAAGTATTGCAATTGAAAAAGTTCACCTCTGTAAATTGGAAATTAGGCAATGGTGCAATGCCACGTCTTCACACTCTAGTCATCATCAACTGTCAAAGTTTAGATGATCTTCCAAATGAATTGTGGTCTCTCACTGCCTTCAGAAAACTGCATGTAAAACAACCCTCACAACCAATGCTTCGTATGCTACGGGATTTGAAAATAAAGGATAGGGTTCAAGTCATAGTCGATGATCATGACAACTAGTTCTTGTTTCAGTAAACCTATGGATTACCAAGTTTCTTTGTATTTGGTAACAAGTTATTTTGGGTTTCATTAGTTTCCATTTTAAGATTTTAGAATAATCATGTTCAACCATGTATGATGTAAAGTTGATGACTTTAATTAAGAAAAACCTTTTCTTATGCTTTTTGAATTTAAGAGTTAGATTGTCCAACATTTTTCTTGTTTAAGTTACTTGCTTGGTTTTTTCAATTCTTTTAATTTGTAAAAAATCCGAATAATACAGAACGGGACAACAAAATTGATTTAAAAGAACGTAGAAATAAAAGAGAAGCTAAAGTTTATTTATTTCCCTTTTTTACAACTATTTTTTCCATGTCTTTTATTAAAAAAAATAAACTACTTAATTTTTTTTAAAGGTTTTTAAAATAATACGTCTGACCCGACTTTATTTTTTTAAGATAAGTCCTAAAAACAAAATTATATCAAACACTACTTTAATTATTAGAGTGTTGTGGTATTTTTTTATATAATAAATTCATTAAATATATTTTGACGAAGAATTTAGGGTTTAGACTTTTATTTTCAAGTTTCATTATATTTTCGTCACTTTTCAAAGTCCAGATACATTGCCAATCAAATTTAATTTGGACTTTCTTTTATGAGTAAAAATACATGACAGACACAAAATAAGGGGGCCGGAGCCCATGATTATGTGAGGCAAAACAAAAACAAATAGTAGAAATTAAATGTCTACGAGACCTTAATAGTATGCTTGGATGAAGAATTTTAATAGAGTAATTTATTTATTTGAAGAATTTTAAATTTTTTGTGGTGAAATACTTTGTTTGGATGGAAAATTTTTAAAAAATTTGAAATTCAAGCATTTGTGAAATTTCTTGAAATAGTAGAATTTGAAATTCTCCCAAAAAAGTAAGAATTTGAAATTCCTCATTTTTTTCTTCTTATTTCACTTATATATCTTATCTCTTATCTCTTCATATTCTTAATTATTGAATATTCAAAAATATTTTTAAAATTATTAAATATTATCTATTAAATTTTAAAATTATTAAATATTTAAAAATTAGCTAATATTTATTTTTATAAAATTTAATTCAAAAATCTCAACATATAAATATTTTTTTAAAATTAATTTTACTATAGTATAATCAAATTATTATATTCAACTTAACAATTTAAAATTTAAGAAATTTGAATTAACTTATCCAAACAAAATATTTTAAGAATGATAAAAATTGAAATCAAAGTAATTCAAATACCAAGAATTTAAAATTCCTTGAATTTGTAAAATCCTTCATCCAAACACACCATAAATTTTCTCTTTTGTGTGCAAATATAATAATAACCTTCTAGCCAATTTAGTTTCATCTTAATAATTAACTAAATAAATTAAATCACATATTTACCTGATTAACTAATATAAAATAATATTGATGATAAATTTTCAAGACGTAAATAAATGTTTGAAAGAATAAAGAGAAAACTATAATTATTAAGAAATTAAATGTAATTGCACAATAAATTAAGAAGAAACCATAAGAGTATATGTCGAATAAAATAATTAATGAGACTTGAAATTTATAATACATCAGCCATTTTTTGAAATTAAAAGAAAATACTAACAACATATTCTTTCTAACATTTTTTTTAACTCTCACAATTATTGATTGTAATTTATTTGGTAACCACATTTCTCATATTTAATGAATTTCTTTTGATCTAGAAATGAAACTCGTCAAAATTTGTAACTTTTAATTAATTTTGATTAAAAGTAAAAAAATATTAAAAATTAAGATAGTAGCACTTTTGGGGAAAAAAATTAAAGCATTAATAATTTTGAAATGAAAACAATAATATTTTACATTTATTAAATATTTCTTAATATATATAATCTTGAACATCAATAATTTTATCACAGCAAAAATATCATGTTGTTTTAGTGTGTATTTGTTTCATAGTTTGTACAACTTTGAATAAAGTTGAAAATGACTGCGAGAATACGATATATTGGCGTTGGATGGCTTTTTCAACGAAAAACAAACATGGCTTTAATCCATTCCTTTAAGTAACTACTTCAGTCACATGATCAGATCTCTAGAGTGGCACTTTTTCCCCTTTGTTGAATTAAGGCTTCTTTCACAAGGTTTGGTATCGTTGCAATGACGATTCTTAATTTGAAGTTTAATGGTGACCCTGTTGTTAATTAGGCAGAAATATCAGTTAGACTTAATTAGTTACCAGACTTGGCGGAAGAAATTAAGAGTAGTAAAAAACTGTTGCCACACTTAATCTAAATCTATTGATAGCAATATTTGCATGGGCCAGTAGTGGCTCATCTTATACTTCAATGCCTAAAATAATATATTGCATTTGGCCTCCCAATTCATTTTGTCTTTAACTATAGTTTATGCTAAATGTTTTTCAAGTGCTGTGGTGTTGAGGCAATTTCGTTTTCATTCAACGTTAGTTGTCCCATGCCATGTTCTGATCTCAATATATAGTTGCTTAGAAATGGTGTCCCCAAAAACCCTTCATTGCAATGCAATGCACCGTTAGAGTTGGTCATGATCGACAACACTAACAAAACCTGCTTGATTAGTCTATTTTCCACTAGACAGCCATCTTTTTTCATCACCACCGAACAGTCGTTTTTGAAGTAAACTCTAGTGTGACACATTCTGCTTTTGGTTCTCTACTACCAAACCAAACCCTCTCTCTTCACTTCACTCCTTTTGAAAAGATGAGGTGAGAATGTATTATGACAATTCCTCTTTTTGGGTCCTTTTACAGCTGTCTTCCCTCCTTATAACCCAAATCTTCTTTGTTTTTTTCCCCCACATTCCCTACCCTTTGCACATTATGTGTCCAGTGTCCACACTACTACTCAATTATGCACTTCCCCACACCTACCTGTAACAATGTCAACAATGTCTCCTGATGCTTGTGTAACACTGTGATACTACATTTCTAATAATGTCATTCGTACATATTCATATATGTCTTATTGATGTGACCACTCTTTACACATGGCTCAGGACCAAAAAAATCAGTGTTACTCTCTACATACATAGTTACATAAAAATGCAAGCTCATTTTTTTTATATTAAATGACAATTTAGGTGAGTTGAAATCATTAGGTTCAACGTATGCTTACATAGATACTTACATAATATTTATCAACAAAATTTTCCTACAGGATTTGAATTCACGTTCTACTAAAATGAGTATCTGTAACAACTGAACTAACTTTTGTTGGTAAGTAAGTTGAATTTATACTTAAAGACCAAAGGTATGTGATATAACAATATGACAAGCGGTGCAAAGCAATGCCATATTTACTTGGAAATAAGCACATCAATCTTCAAGAGTATGACAGGTTAGACGCTAAGTTAGAGATACAAATAGGACGTAACAGGTAATAAGAATATATAATGATTCAAATGTATTTTATGATGACTTATACTAATAAAATATGTTATTAGACAATTAAGGAAATTGAAGACACTATATTGTTCGTTTAAAGGATAGTAACAGCAAACGTTACACTTGTAGTTTCTCTAGTAGGTGATGAATTCTTTGAAAAGAGTTCAGGACCTATGCGGTACACCATCCATAGCTTGAGATCCCTATTTCTACTTTTTCTATAACAAGTTAGTATTTGATAGTCATATGTATACCACATAAAGTTGTAAGTTGTGACCCTCCCTCAGCAAATTGACAAGCACATGAAAAAATGAAGGGCAGTGGTTGTTTGCTAATTTATGATTATATCAAAGCTGAGTGAGGGATAGTGTTGTCATTTCAAACCCAACAGACATATGAACATGTCTGCTACAGTTGGAAAAAAGAGAGATGGGGAGAAAATAAAAACGGGAGGACCCATGAAGGTTAGGAGGAATGGCTCTCGGCTCTCCAATGAAAACAAAGTGGCTATGCTTTTATCCATAGCAATTCTTGCTCTTGGAGACCCCACATTTTGGAACAGGAGAAACTCATCATGAAGATTGAGGAAGATGAAAAATATGAATGATTGCATTTGCACCCACATAAAAGTCATATCCACTCCACAAGAGGTTTTCAGTGCAGGAATTTCTGCTCCTCAAGAGAAAAGAGTCTTGGTATGTGCGCACATTCACCGATGAAATCCACCCAAAGTTCCACATTCTTGGTTGGGGTAGTAACTGATATTATAAAGAATGTTTGCTGATTTCAAGGCTATTGCATCTGAATTTAATGAATGACAGCACTGCACCTGCACTTTTTCCCATGCACCAAGCTATCTGAAACGGTGGCTCTTGTCCTTTTTAATGGAATTTCAAAAAATGGGTAAGGGTAAGCAATTAACTTGGATCTCACTCCAAATCTGCATCACATTTATCATCTTTTTCAACTATCTTGGCTTGTGTGCATTCATGTTTATTGTTTAATACTTTAATTTGCTCCCAAATCAAGGTTCTGATTCATGTTGTACATGTGTTTGGCCTTTGCTGTCACTACTTATTCACATAAGAATCTTCGTCCATGACAAGTTCTGCAAATTGTTTCGTCTTTTTGGACAAGTCTAACGTTTCAGTTGTACAATTACATTACTTAAATCAATGCCTAGTCAGTAACCGGCCGTACGTTTCACACATCCACTCTTGAAAATTGATGTGAGAGATTTAGAATTTAGATAATAAACCAAAAACCTAGCTATTTTGTTTATAAGAGGATGCTTATGGGCAATTTTTCAGATCACAGACATTGAAGTTGACCTATGTGATATTGCTAAATGGCCAAGAAGAAGAGCTGGTTTAGTCTGGTGAAGAGGCTCTTTATATGGGACACACATTCCACTCAAGACAAGGTAAGTCTCAAGTTTTTTTAATGTTAGTCTTTAACTTGGATTCTATTTCTCATGAGACAATAAACTTTTTTTTTTTCTTTTTTATTTCCAGAAAGAGAAGAGAAGGAAATGGGTCTTTGGAAGGCTTAAGAGCAAAAGATTACCATCAATTACAGCACCACCGCCATCAAAAGAAACAACATTAACACTAAGTGAAGCAGAGGAAGAACAGAACAATCATGCTTTAACAGTGGCCATTGCCTCAGCAGCTGCTGCTGAAGCTGCTGTTACTGCTGCTCATGCTGCAGCTGAGGTTGTTCGTCTCACTGGGGTCTCACAATCTGCCCTTCAACGCAAAGAAAACTCAGAAGAATCTCAACCTCTGAAAACTAGGAATGGTGCTCCTCAATCCACATACCAGTGCCTCAGGGAGATTAAAGAATCTGCTGCAGCCATCATGATTCAAACTGCATTTAGGGGTTACCTGGTGAGTTTGTCCAAGCCATTTTCTTTGATTTGTGTCACCTTAAGACCTCTTTGCATAATCTTTACCTTCAATGCTAAATTCCTCACTCGGGATTCAGATTATTGGGAAAGTCCAAATCTGCATTGACTTAAGATAGAGTTTTACAAAGTTTGCATCTCTCACCTTACAAAGCTAGTTTTGTAGGATGAGGTAGAACCAAAATCAAAGCTGGTTTCAGACTCTATCTTAGATTTATTATTAGACCACCTACCGTATTATCTATATACCAAAAAGCTCTAACATTAACTAGAGATATTGCTTGATAAGAGCTTATAAAGCTTAAGTACTCCTCCGTAAGTTGATTTTTAGGAATGTGTTAACTCCAAAATCTAAAAGAGATTAATGAAAAAAAAAAAAACAGAATAAATTTAATGACAGACACACTAGATGTGAACCAAGTATTATAAGCTGAAATTTGCTAGAAATTAAAAGATTTCTTACAACATTTAGTGATTTCAAAAATTCAACTCCAAAGAGAGCAAAAGAAATAACGAAAATTGGACAACAAAGAGAAAGTACTAGTAGTAATAGAAATTAACAAGTGGAAGAAGAAACCAAGGTCAGCTTACTCTATATTTTGTCATTGTATTCTCTTATTCACTGACTGGTAAGACATTACAGGCAAGGAAGGCTTTGAGGGCATTGAAGGGAATTGTGAAGCTTCAAGCTATCATTCGAGGCAGAGCAGTAAGACGCCAAGCTATGAGTACTCTTAAGTGCTTACAGTCCATAGTGAGTATCCATTCACAGGTATGTGCAAGGAGACTCCAAATGGTTGAAGGGAGATGTGATTACACTGAAAATGAAGAGATGCAAGATTCTAGAGACAAGATAATTAGGGTGAGCGTAACAGGTTAAATTAAACTATATCATTAGCTCAATTCACACTGCACACACAAAGTTCCACTGCCACATCCACATTCTGCATTGTATCAATTAGATTTTAGCTGTTATCCTTGTGCAATTTAGATATTGAAACGTGTTTATCTCGTTTTCAGATGGACTCAAACAGTGAAAGGAAGGATGAAAGCACTTTATTGAAGGAAGAGGTAGACAGCTCTTGCATAAGCAAGAAAGAAACAGATCTCAAGAAAGAAAGACTAAAAGCATACTCATTTAACCATAGAGTAAGCTCCTAGCTCTTTCATGTGTTTGTTTAGCCTATCTGGATATAAGTTTACAAGAGTTTTTGAGAACTTCTCCATTAGAAAGAGTTTTTTTTTTTTTTTTTCAGTAGAGAAATTCTTAAAAGTATTCAGTTTGTATCCAAACATACTTTTTTGCTTGATTCTTTTGCACGATAAGGTTCTCAAACTAACCTACGAAATTACCTTCAGAGGTCAGCAGAGACAGAAAGAAGTAAAGTAAATGGAAGATGGAGATACTGGCTAGAGCAGTGGGTAGATACACAACTTTCAAAGAGCAAAGAACTTGAAGATTTAGACTCAATTTTTAGCACACATTCTAGAGCTGAGGAGGAATATGGAGGAAGGCAACTTAAGCTGAGAAGTATTCAAAGACAGAATCCAGTTGAAGGATTAGATTCTCCAATACTTTCTTCAAGAAGATCTTTTCCTCATAGGAGGCAGTGTTCAGTGGGAGAAGACCACTCATTTTCAAGCTCTCCTGCAACTCCAGCATACATGGCTGCAACTGAATCAGCAAAAGCAAAAGCAAGATCAACAAGCTCCCCAAAAGTAAGGACAGGGGGGAATGTGGACATGAACTCTGATAGCTATTCACCATGCAAGAAAAAGCTATCCATTGCATCTTCTATTAACAGTGAAGTGCTTAGTGGTGGTAGGATGTGCAAGATCAGTGGTAACCAGCAAAGATCTCCAAGTTTTAAGGGTCTTTCAGTGCCTATAAAATCAAACCGAACTATCAAGGATCTCAGTATTAATTCGGATTGCTCACTGCCTAATTGGGATCGACAAGGTTCCTTCAAATGAGTCTATGAATGCTAATGTTACTCTTGGCTGCATTAACACAATTCCTTGTATCATGAGAAGGCTTGAAAACAATAGCTGTTTATAATTATAACTATGTATGATATATATGCCATTGGATGTTATTTTGGTTGGGAATTGAACATTAATGTGACAGAAAGTAGATAATTCCTTGATTCATTAGGAGTCCCCTAACATGTATGCTTTAATCCATATCAGAATCAGACTAGTTTTTCAAACACCTGGTTCTTTTTTTCGTGGTTCTCAATCTCATATAATATTTATTAACTTGTGTAATTTCATAATATCTTATTCCTAGCATGAAATTTTGAGTTGTAATAATATGTCTGGCCTGGAATATTGTTTACTCAACCTGACAGCCACTTGGCCAGTTTGATTAAACCATCTGTTAGTAAGTACATGCTGTAAACCTTGTTAGACTTATTTTCTCGAACGAACTTTTCATGGTTTTTATCTAAAATTTAAACTTCCAAAAATCAAAACTTGTTTAATTTTAACATGAATACATGCTCCATTTGTTTCAGTCTTAGTTTAACAGGGATGAATTCTTTCATGTAGAATTTTTACTTGGATTATTACCAGTCAAAATCTTCAACAAAAAAATTTAATTTTAAATTAATAATTTTAATAAACATGAATGTCACATGAAAGAATGTAACTCCTACTTTAAAACAGTCCACTGAGAGAGTCTCTAAATTACTTCATACTTAGGATCCAAACTCTCTGTTATTTTTAATTAAAAATTTTATCTCTGTAACTAATACATTTATTAAGTATCTTTTAAACTGTTTTCTTTTTTTAAAGAGAATTTAAAAAAAAAAAACTTGTTTCATAAGAGTAATCTTTTAAAATTTAAAATTTTTTAATTTAAAACTGGGAACACCATAGTGTTGTTTTAGTTTTCTACTTTCATTTTTTTCATCATTCATGTTTTTTCCTTACATTTTTATATTTTCTTTCCTTATATTTTTTTTTTAAATATTCTTTCTAAAAATTTGAGAAGCATATTTTTGAAAAAGTTTGACTTAACATAACTAATTATATTATAGAAATTATTTCTCATGTAGTTTATATTACAAAAGCCTTGGAAAGAGGAGAGAGAAATGAAATGGAAGGATGTAAAAGTGGAGGAGTGTATGTTTCCTTAGAGTATATTCTTCGTATTTCTCTTCGTTGGATAGACTAATTAGATGAATTAGATAATTCAAATTCAAACCAATTAAACTAAAAATAAATAAATAAAAGGAGAGTGGGAAGAGAAAAAAAAAATCCAAAAAGAAGCTTCCCTTGGAACACTTGTACTGTGTGGGATGGTCTTTTCGTTTGGGCCTGGGATGTCTTTTGTGCTTGGCTCATGATATATACACCTCCTTCTTTTTATAAGTACACCTCCTTTTTCTAAAAAAATTTAATTTTACACTTTCAATTTTCAATTTGTTATTTTCTTCTTCTTATTCACACACATTTTTTTTTCTTTTTTAATTTTCACATGCTACTAAAATAAGTGGGGTGAAGGAAAAATAAGGGGGTGCATGTAAAAATTGAAAAAAGGAGGAAAGATATGTGAAAAAAAGTACTAAATTAAATGTTATGGATGTAAAATTAAAAAATTTAAAACAAAAAATTAAAAATATTTTAAAATTTTAATTATTTTTTTTAAAAAGAGGTGTACTTATAAAAAAAAGGAGGTGTATATATCATGAACCTTTGTGCTTTTATTTCCTTGTTTTGGGCTGAAAAAAAATCCTCGAGCCTAAGATAAAAAAAAATCCTCGAGCCTGTACACCTATTAATTCTAGAAGTTAGCATATCGGTCTTATACACTTGCAAGTTACTTTTGTTTGTGTGATGTTTTACATTGTTATTAAAAAAGCCAATAAATTTATTGTATATAATAATTTGTAATTAAATAATAGTGTAAAAACTGATTTATGCCATGAGTACATGGCTACTTGTTTCTTTACCAAAAAATAACATGGCTACTTGTTTTTCTTTGACAGCCTTTTAACAAGTTTACACTAAAGAATTAACGCATAAAATTCTTATTCTATATTTTCAAAAACAGAGAAAAATAGTTAATATAAAAATTCATGATCAGAGCAAAAGGATATGTTAGCCTGAAAACTAAGTGTCTATATGAGTAAATAGAAAATATGGATAATTTGTTTTTATAATTAAAGAGCAAATAAGATTAAACTATTTTTGTTTAAACTATAACTTGTTTTCATAAGTTATATTGAAAATCGTATTGATATAAGCCAAAAATAGCATATAGAGATATCATAAGATTCATAACCTATATATTTTCATATATTTCCCCGAATACTTAATCAAGTACCATGTGATAGTCGAAGTCTAAATAAGTTGTAAATAAAATCTTACAAATTGTCCCTAAGACTTTAGATATCAATTAAGGATAGAAAATAAAACTTACATAAAATGAATTGAACACGACTCATCACCAAAAATAGGAAAATGTGTTCACAACACTCTCCATTATCAAGAAACAAAAAAAATAAAATTAAAAACCAAATCAAAGACACTATAATGTAATATGATTATACTTAAAACTTTGATAAGAGAATCTTATTTTGAAAGCAACTTTGGTAAGTTGAATTAGTCCATATTTTAATTATATTGTATATGCATAGATTTTTTTTTTTTTTAAATTTATAGGTAACAATAGAATAAATACAAAATATTCATCATTGGAAATAATAATTAATCTCTGTAAAAGATTGTGAGTATTTTTTTTCAATCTATTTCATACTTAAGATTAAAATTTAAATTTTAGACAATTTGATTAAAAGATATAGACAATCATTACTTATGTTAATCAATATTAATTAGTACTGTATATGCACAGAAGAAAACATGATTTGTTTGAAGATTCTTATCACACGTGGAATGCTAAAATTTATTGGCTAAAATTTAGTGCTCAAGTCAGCGGTTCTATAGAAGTTCCATGTTCTAAAGTTACACGGTTGCACTTTGCACAAATAATTTGATACGTGACAGCGAAGGTGTCCACCAGTCACCACACCACTATGGTTGTGTTGTGAATTTCAAGTTTGAAGCATTTGAATTCAACTCACGTATTGGTCGTTGGACTTAGACCTAACCAACATATTTCAGACCTTGCTCATGAGTTTCATGAGAAATACACTGTGACCTATTAAAGTAACATCTCATTCTAGAGGGTCTTGGATCTGAGAAATTACGCGTTTAAATTTGAGACGTTTACTAGTCAGTAGTCACTACTGATGCCATTATTGTTCGAAAACGACATTAAGTTTAGACCATTTACGCAACTTTTCGAAATATGAAAAAAAAATCAGTCCGAAAAAATCGAATTGATGGATTGGTCCGCCACTACTAACTAGGCTTCTTCTAATAGTGTTTAACACTCTACCACTCACTTTCTGGTCCATATACTGCTTCATCCATATCTAAGCCTCGTGCTAAAAATGCCCTTGTCCACCTATGTCTACAATTTGTTTATGTCTAACTGATAATTATGTAATTCCAATTAATATCATGTTTGAGCAGAGAAATCATTTTCTAATTTAATGTTAAGAGACAAACTCCTCTATCAATTGACACCTTCAAAGAGAATAATAAACCAACACTACCCAGCTCCATGATATTTTACTGTTACACTTGTTATTTCTAGTAGTTGTTAGTATAATTAGTAAATTCATTCATTGATCTATGAGAACTTCCTGAAAAGATAATAAGGCAGATACTAAGAAGAAATATGGAATATATATACCAAAGTGGTTTTCTTTATGATATTAATGCAACTTAAATAGAAGTGCATCAGCTAAATAAGATAGATACGTTGCATACATAAGATGACAAAACGTTAAGCATATATATTAAATAGGAAACAGGTTAAATTTGGTGTCATATATGAGTGTAACGGAGGATAAATATGTTGTCGTATCAACAACAGAAGACATTCTAAATGGAAATGTAAAGACAAGCCAAAGGTTGAAAAGTAGTGACATTAATTAGTAATGGCAGACAGATCATTCGCTTCATTTGATGAGTAAGCATTGTGTTTTTATAATGGTTGGGGGAAAGTACTATTGTAGTACATTGAAAATGAGATAAAATATTTGTTCTGGACCTCTCTAACGCTATTTAGGGTCGAACAAATAAATAAAAGAACATGTCGGTTGTTCAGTATTATCAAGTCCAATTATCTAATCTTTGTCTAATATGTCTTTGAATATGTTTGGAAATCTGTTTCAAACCTTGTAAACAGAAGATCCCACTTTGAATTCCAAAGCAACAAACGTAGAAGACAAGAAGGTGAATTGACGTTAACTGAATGGATTTGTAAACACACACCAAGGACTTGATACAGACATATGAGATATGATGAATACAATTTGTGAAGAAGATAATGCAAATCATGGGATCATTCACTCGTCATAACGCAAAAAAAATCGCTCCTAACTCAAGAAAGGTCATACAATTAAGTCTAATGTGCCTAAGGGAGTAACTCCTCTAACACTACACACTTTTCATCTTTTTCTCGCAAATACTAACTTAGAGTCAAAATCCTAACCAATACTCCACGGAAACTTGGCTTGCAGAGAATCATCTCAAAATCCTAAATCCATCTTCAATATCCTTAGTCTTATTTTCTAATGCTGAACAATATTAAAGAAAAATTAGAAAGTGCTTTACTGTAATAGTGTTATATTATTTGTTATTGGTGTTTTCATAAATATTTTTTTTGCTGTCTCTAATTTAATTGTACTTTTTATGAATTTCCCTTTTATAATTTTTATTTTTATTACAAAACCTTTAAATTAGTTTACAATTTTAATTTAAAATCAAAAAATAAAACCTATATCATTAAAGAATTAATATGATTTATTTGAACCCAAGTCGTAAATTCCATTGCTATTTAATTATAACGTAAAAATAAAAAACAATTGGAATATAGCATTGAAAGTGTATAGGGACCTCTAGTTTCTTTCTTTTTCTGTATTCGGTTCTTACAAACTACTTTAATTTTGGACATATGTCCAAATGGCTATCGGGGACCTCCAGTTTCATAGTGAGTTCCACGCATTTGATACAACCAGGACAACAAAGACATATACAGGGGCACCAATAAAATTACAAAAGACGAAATGTAAAGAGGACACGTAAAAATTCAATAGCTATAGCCACGCTTCAAAATTATTTTTTCTTTTAAGTTCCCACGCTGATGAGGAATGGAAAGAGATGTTGATACTTTGAATTAGCATATATAACATAATTTGATGAGTTTGGGACAATATTTAATATTTGTTGATTAATTGCTATATATATATATTTTTTTTTTCAGACAGGTTTGATATATTTACATTTACAATAAATCTTAATTTGAAATTTAAGTGAGACATGCTCATGCATAATTATGTACGAGTAAATACATTCACAGTGTATAGTATATTATTCAATTATAAATTATTATATATAATAAGTTTATGGATTTTTATAATGTTTACCTTAAAAATTGTATTAATGATAATTTTTTATTGACTCGCCGTGTAAATTACACTAACATTACATAAAAGTTAACACATTGCATATTGGTAAGTTACTTTTACTTATTTACACTCATTCACGTTTTACACTTTCCACTTCAACTTATTGAATAATACTTCAAATTCTATTTGAAAATCTAAAAAAGAAAAGGTTTAAATCATATTAAATGCAGTGGATATAATATATTAATCTAAAGTTTATACCGTGTTAACCTTTTTTTTAACAGAAAATGATATTGTTTGAACTTTACAGTGAGACAACTTTTTCTTCTTCTTTATTTTATTTTATTTATGCATGTTAATGAACAAATATTGTTCAAGAAGAAGGAATTTGTCAATCCTAATCATATTTGTCTTACGCGTTTACAAAGCGAGAATTAAATATTTTATTTTCATATATAATTTGACAAAGAAAGAGACTTATGGTTTCTATACTGGTGATGATGATGAGCTTTACTCAATTACTCACGATAACAATGGGTAAGAAAGGATTTAACCTAAGTATTTTAATCTCTATGTTTGGGATACGACAAGGAGACATCTGTTAAGAGCGATAAAGTGGGATATGAAATATGATAAGAATAATAATATAATCTAATGGTTTTGATTATTCTGAATTCTAAATCATATTGTGTCCTACAAAGCCTTCCAAATAAAATCCTTAGGCCTTAAAGCACCGTTATGTGACAGTGCCAAGGGCACCTGTCTCGTTTACGTTGTTATATTAACATTTGTCAGTCAGAAATTTGTATCGATCGAACAACATGAAACTGATGTGGCATTCTTGTCTTATTTTGTTAATTAAATGCTTTAAGAGGGCATCGATGATGGAAATTGTAAAAGATGATCGCCGCCCATCGATTGAGAAACATGACAATTGTTCAGTGTTCAAAATCTAGAGATTTTACACTGGCTAAAAGGTGATTCTGCTCTCTAAAATCTAAGCATCAATGGGCACAGGAGGCCCCATGATGTGGCTATCATCACTATACGTGTTGAGTAGTCCCACATGATAATAACTCAACTATAATATTAATTTTCTTTTCATGTCTTTATTCATAGTTGGTTTCCTTCTAAAAAGCAAGTCATCAAAAGGATTAGGTTTTCCACCACAGGTGAGAAGACCATGTCAAATGCGTTCATATTTTCACACTAGACACTACTATATGCCCTATAGTAACTGTGTGCCCGAGTCAAATTCTAACAACCTTAATCTAATATATATAATGCCCAACCAAAGACACCATTTCAAAAAATTAATAAATCTAGATTGAAATATGTGCAATGCATGAACATTGAGGTCCCCTTATATGTCTTTAAAATGTATTTTTTTAGATCAAGTTGCTTTTCATGTCATGATTAATGTCTCTTTCATACCAACGAATCCTTCAATAGATACTGTGTATACTTTCTACACACGAAAACGAGTTCCTCCACTATGCTCCTGAGTCCTGATATAATGTGGAAGCCGTCAAATACCAAAACAAGGGTATGCATCCATCATCCTTTTATGCAATTGAATATAAGCCATGTATCATATACATATAATAAAAAGGTTGCAACGAGAGAGGTCAACGGTCAACCCTAAATTGTATAACAGTGTAATTAAGCTGTATATCAGGTTGAGAATTAAGTTACGTTAGACCCACTCCATTGCGTTTATATGATCAAGATCCATATATCTAATTTGAGTGGTCATTATATTTGATATGGAACCGGGGTAGTATCCAAGTGTTGTAGAAGAACAAAGTGACTAATAAAAAGGCACAAGGGTGAGAAGCCAAAAATGATTAAATAAAATATAACTAGAGAGAAAGGGTAACAAAAAAATATTTAGTAAATAGCAAGGATCCAGAAAAATTAAAGAGAATATTCTCATTGCAACTTCACTGGGAGAAACTTGTCGAGGAAGGAAAGAGGGGGAGAGAAAACTGTACCAATGGCATCAATTATTGCGTTTATGTTTCTTTCTGAACAACAGGAGACATGGATCCTGCAGGCTACAGGCTATTGCACATTGGTGTATGTTTTCCTAGAGGGAACAATGGAGGTTTTCCAGGACCACAAATCGCAATATAATTTCAACAGAAGATCACGAAAGCATTTTTGCCAATCTAATGAAGTGACAAATTGATTTGGCCATAATAGAGGCAAGATGGCACTGTATGAAGCTGCAAAATTTCTCATTGGACCGAGATACTAGTTGCAAAGAAAAGGATAAAGTTATAGTAGTACTAGTATGAAGAAAGTATAGACAAGAGAATCACTCGAGACTTGTCCAATAGCTTGGTACTAAAGATTCGATACACTAGCAAGTGCAGTGGTAGTTGTGCATACTTGAGAAGCAGATACGTAAGTAGAAGCCTTTCATTTGCTTCTCTCAAACTGCCACTCCATTAATTTCCTCTTATTCTTTCAGGAGGTCCCTACATGAGAAATGAATGAAGACTTCACGTGTCTCATGGACCAATACATGCCCCACCAACTTCATCTCTCACTCTTTAATGAATTCAAAGCATCCCGCGCGTCCTTCTCATCCAATCTAAGAGCAGGATACGCGATGTTTACATTCCGACAATAGTGGACTCAGTACCAAAACCATAAACTTACGTGTGAGTTAGACACCTGTCCATAGGGGCAAAACAGAAATACGCACTGTGGAAAAGGCAAGGACTTATTTCTAAATTCGGAAAAAGCATCCTTAATGAACAACAAAGACTCCAAACATGTCTTTCCTTCATGCTATTGTAAATATGTCATTGTGGTTTCCACTGTTTGGAAAAGTTGAAGATTTATGAGATCTCTCTTTGATGTTACTTTTCCTCTTCAACTTGGCTTCTCTTTTAAACAAGCTAACCCCATAAGGTCATAACACTCTTCCTTCCAACTTCCAAGTTGGCAGTCCACATACGCATTCTCGCAGGTCATAACTCAACAAGGGTTGACTAAGCCAACCACAAACCCCTTTAAATTCTGGCCCAAACCTTAAGTTCCTTCACTCTCCATCACTTTCTCCTTTTACTCGTGCTCACAAACAAACAGCGCCTACAAAATCAATCTGCTTATTCCTTCTCAACAGAAAATAAAAAATAAAAATGAGATACCCTCTTGGAGAATACAGCATTATGTTCCTTAGAGGCTTCACGATATTTTTGTTCCTTAGTTGCATAACCATTCGGCTTAACCTGTGTCTTTCTAGTGTCCCTCCTTCACTAAAATCACTTCCCCTAGAAGGACATTTAAATTTTGATCAAGTTAGCCTTGGGCATGCAGCCAAAGACTTTGGCAACAGGTACCAATACCATCCAATGGCAGTACTGCATCCAGAATCAGTTTCTGATATTGCGGCCACCATAAAGCATATCTGGCTCATGGGTCCTAGCTCACACCTCACAGTTGCAGCCAGGGGCCACGGCCACTCACTCCAGGGCCAGGCTCAAGCTCGTGGAGGAGTTGTCATCAACATGGAATCACTCAAGGTCCAAGAAATGCAGGTACATGTGGGAAAGTCTCCATACGTGGATGTCTCAGGTGGCGAGTTGTGGATAAACATCTTGCATGAGACTCTAAGATACGGGTTGGCGCCAAGGTCGTGGACAGACTACCTACATCTGACGGTTGGTGGCACTCTCTCCAACGCTGGCATCAGTGGACAGGCATTTCGGCATGGTCCCCAGATAAGTAATGTTCAGCAGCTGGAGATTGTTACAGGTTTGTAAAACCATCTTGTGAAAATGGCAAGAGAAAAGAAGACACTTATTTGTGATAAATTTTTCTTAAGTACTTCTATAAATTGAATTAACTTTTTTATAAATTAAAATTTAGCTTATATATAAGTTAAAAAATATATTTTAAAGAAGTTAATACGAAAATTCTTTTATAAATTTATTTATGCAGAAGTTTATTCGAACAAAACTTTAAGCAACTACTATTTTGTCTTTTCTGAACCAGTAATTCATTTGAATAGGCTTGGCTGAAAATAAGTTTTCAAATAAAGAAATGCTTTCTCTTTTGATGAATAAAATATGGTCAATGAATGGATGCAGGAACAGGGGAGGTGGTGAACTGTTCCGCGAAGCATAATGAAGAACTCTTTCACAGCGTTCTTGGGGGGCTTGGCCAATTTGGCATTATAACCCGGGCAAGAATTGTTCTGGAGCCAGCACCTGCCATGGTAATGCATACCAAGTAAAAGGGTAGATCAGCCTGTAAGCAGTAGCACAATGCAAGCAGGAAACACTTTAGCAGTAGCATACAACAGTCGACAAATTGAGTATAAAAACAGAAGAAAAAAAAACTGTGAAATAGTGTATTCGCATATGGTATAAAACATTTTAAACTTTGATGAAAATTTAGATAATTTACATAAAATCTTAAATGCTAACTTCACAATTCTTATTGTAAAGCCAGCACCTGCCATGGTAATGCATACCAAAACAAAGTTTTTAAATTTTTAATTTGTGTTTTGGGAGCACAAATAGTCATCACTGGAAGCTTTCTATTTTCTGGAACAGGTAAAATGGATTAGAGTGTTATACTCAGATTTCACAGCATTCATAAGAGACCAAGAGAGGTTAATATATGCAGAAAACACGTTTGACTACATTGAAGGATTTGTTATAATAAACAGAACTGGTCTGCTAAATAACTGGAGATCATCCTTCAACCCACAAGACCCAG